AGTCGCTTCGCCTTGCTGAATGAAAAAGTTCACCCCATAATAAATTCATCTGTTAATGTCTTCCGACTTAGAGATTAATCGGTTAACCATTCACTTCTTTGTTATTTTATAATATCCATAACCTATCATATAAGAGCAAATAAGGTAAGATTATCGCGATTATAGATCTAAAAACTGATTATCATAGAGAATGATAAAAAGAAGGTGCTGTAGAAATATGATCCATTTAGCATGTCACTAAGAGTAAAGACACTCATCAAGTTGTACATGAGCATCCTCATCTCTGCAATACTTTTATATCAATCACACAATAGGCCTTAAACATTCCTCCACTATATATCACACAATAGGCCTGAAGCATTGACTCCATTTAGCATTGTCTCTAAGAGTAAAGACACTCAACCACTTTAGCATCCTCATCTATACAATACTCAATTTAATTTTTTACTTCTCTTTTAATGGCCAACATTATGTGACATAAAGCATTGCAGGTCTCACCATCATTTATAGAATTTTACCTACAGGTTTAAATGGTCCTTTTCTATCACACAACAGGTTTGATGTATTCCTCCACTTTAACCAACCAACTTGAATTCTACTAATAACAGGTTTTCTTATTAATGACTTAATCGCCCAAAGCACTTCTCCATAGCATATGTAAATCCTTTCTTTTCTAAAATTAACTCTCCATAGCACTTATCTTTGAAATTTATCATATGTTTTTATCTAATTCAATAAGTTTCATATGTAAATCCTTCTTATTCACTCTATATTTCACCATGGATAAAGAAAAAAAGATACGGGCTATGATCCTTGATGTAATCCAACTGAAATAGAAAATATTTGGTCATAGCATGCACATGCATGCAATGTGTTTAAACACAACATATGTAGATCCTCCATACTCTCTCTATAAGTGTCCATAATAGACACTTATTCTCAAAAAATGTATAGCTTCCATAATAGACACTTATTCTCAATATGATTAAGCATTCCAAAGGCTAGTACTACCTTCCCACTACCTAAATCAACACTTGGAGATATCAAGACCATCTATCTTGGAAATGTATGGTAAGAACATCCATGGCTAAAGAAAAAATCATACAATAGGGTACATCCTCTTGCAAATGTATGGTAAGAACATCCATGGCTAAAGCAAAAAGCATACAATAGGGTACATCCTCTTGCAAATGTATGGTAAGAACATCCATGGCTAAAGCAAAAAAAGCATACAATAGGGTACATCCTCTTGCAAATGTATGGTTAGAACATCCATGGCTAAAACAAAAAATAAATTCATGGCTAAAGAAAAAAAGATATGTTCTTAAACCTAATCTATGTAATCCAACTGAATTAGGAAAAAATTTTGTCAAAAGAAACGAAAAAACAAAACCTTCCGTCGGCGGTGAAGCGACCACAAAAGCTATGAGTCTCGTCGGCAAACTCCTCTGACCGTCGGCGATGGTGATCTAAGGGCGAGCGATGGCGATCTACGGGCGAGCGACGGAGGGCGACGACGATCTACGGTCGAGGTGAGAGAACAGAAGGAAAGAAGTGACGGGCCAGAGGGGCTCGGTTTCGAAAAATAAGGCTTTCAACGGCGGATTTTTCGGCGGATCCGACGCCGGAGATTTCATTGAGTTTAAATAGACCGGCGCAATATCCGTCGATATTGGCGCCGGTGATTTTTTCGCCTTAAAGTGCGATGGAAATAGTGAGATATTGGTTTATTCCGACGCATAGACCGGCGCCAATATCGCCGGAACCTTTCCGGCGTCATTGGCGCCGGTAAATCCGCCGTAGGTTTTCCGTCGCAGCATGCGCCGTTTGTTAATTACCGACGCAAAATGATCCGCCGAAAAGTCCGATGGTAATCGCGTGTTTTCCCGTAGTGAATTTAAAGGAATAGAAAACATTATTTAATCATTTAGAGTTTAAACTGAGCTAGTTCTTTTCCTCTACTATCCAATCAATAAATAGTGTTTCAATCATAATACCATTAATAAGTCTGGTGGGTCTAGTGTAACCTTCATGTACTAAAATTCAAATTTGATACTCAAGTGATTAAATAAAAAAAGACATATGTTTTTCAAAAGTTAAAAGAAATGTTATCAAATATAGGTGGTCTAGTGATCAAATATCCTTCAGGAGTGTTACGATTTCCAAAAGTAGCTATGATCATTTTCAAAAAGTTGTCTAAACCTTAATTTTTAAAAATAGACTTTTATACTAATTGAAAGTTTGAATAAATTGTTAGAGCTAATATAATTATCCCAAGACTAATAAAGAGTCTGGGGGGTGTAAATTGGCAATTTAAAAAATTCTCTTAGATTTTAGAAATTTAATTTAAGATTTTTTAGCATAATAACTTAATTTTCACAAAAATATTTTTCAACCACAATAAACTTAAATGCAAAAAAAAAAGCAATAAAATAGTGAAGATATAAAATATCAAATTTTATAATGATACAGTCACTCTAGACCTACGTCCACTCCCTGAAAACTCCTCCTTCAAGTATTGCACTATATCAAAGTTACTCTCATTTTGCTCCCACAACAAGGAAGATAAGCCCTTACAATAATCTCTCTTCCACTAACCCCTATGCGGCAGAGTATTGACACCTTTCTCACCCTCCTAGTGATGGCAGAGTACCAACATCCTTTTTAACCCTCCTAATGATGGCAGAGTACTAATGTCCTTTCTCATCCTCTTGGTGAAGGCAAAGAAGTATCAATGTCCTTTCTCACCCTCTTGGTGATGGTAGAGTACCAACTTCCTTTCTCACCTTCTTGGTGTTGCCAGAGTACTAATGTCCTTTCTCATCCTCCTAATAATGGCAGAGTACCTGATCTACTCCAAAGATATTATCTCAAGAGTCTTTAAAGAAGTAGGGCAAATATTTGAAAAACTCCCAAAGAGATCCTCATCTTTGGGCTACCATGTAAATTATTCACAATTTTCACTTGTAAGATCTCTCAAAATTCACACCCAAACACTCCCCTAAAGCACACTCTTTCTCACTATAAAGAGAAAATACACAGCAAGATCTCTAGTAGAATAGTGGAGTCAGTTTTTAAGACTCTTTTATATGAAGGACAAGAAAAACAATTTAGAAAACAGAAAATTTCAAGCTGAACGAACTTGGATCGTATAATATTATTGTATTTTGTACTTATAAATAGTTTAAAAAATTTAATTACAAATATATACGAACTAATTTTATACTCTATCAGTCGTATGTATGAACTGACATCATATTGTCTGAACAGTTAAAAACTAAACTAGTTCGTCCGGTAAGATTTTGTACGAACCCATTTCATACACTATGAATTGTTTGTTCAAACCATATATGATAAAATATGAATAGTTTAAATAAATCATGCTTCAAATGGTACTAACATAGATGAACCCATTTCATGCTCTAAAGATTGTTTGTACGAATCCAACTTTGTACAATACGAATAATTCAAAAAAATTATGAGTTCATATGGGATGAACGAGTACGCACTCATTTTATACTCTAAACATCATATATACGAATCTAATTTCATACAGTACGAACAGTTCAAAAGTAAATTTTTTAAGGCCTGATTTGATTAACTTCATTCTGGAGGAACTACCTTGATAAACAATCTAATATAAAAAAAAACAATCTAATACGATCTAAAAATTATATAGTACAATTAGTTTTAAAAATAAAATTTAACTCACTCTCTCAGTGTGTGTGTGTGTGTGTGTGTGTACGGTTACCCAAATTATAATCACACGCTCTTTGATGCAAGAAAAATAGAAAAAGTACAGACTTCATTACAATAAATCCTAATCTAATCTGTCTTAATGTATTCAATAGTCTGGAGTACAATTTATCTAAAATGTTAGTACATACAAATAACACAAAGAAAATATATCCAATATATGTTAGGAGAAATAGTAATCACAACAATAATATTTTGATATCATAAAAAACTCATATGATATAAAAATAAAATTTTCAAACTGAGTTGCAACACCCAATGTATGGAGTTGGAAGTTTTCAAAATTGATGATATATCTAAGGTGGTAGTTACGTCAGAGGACGGTTATTCTGTGACTTTAAATATGGATTTCGTCCATGCCAATTTAGTCTGGCTTGAATGAGGGCTAGTGGGTAAGCTTATTGGACAAATATTGCCTTTCTTGTGCTAAGTAATGAATTAAAGTGAAAATGGTCAATGTTTGGAGATTTTTAGCTCATTTCCATCTCTCCAGATGCTTTTGTTCGCCTCTTTAAAAGTGTCAAGTTTTTTGTGCGTTTATTATTTATTTAGATCGCTAATCTTCTTCCTTCTCTCCCCAATAAATGGTTGGCCTCTCTTCTCCTGTTTGGATTTGCATGCCTCAGTTGCCTCTTTTGTATTGGGACAATACCAACCTTGACCATATAGCTTAATTCTTTGGACAAACTCTATGGGTTGATGCTCAAACAAATTGATGGGGGAGAAATTCTTTTGCTAATGTTTGCGTGAGTGTGGTCTTAGTGCCATGTTTCCTCATGGAGTTTAGATCTCTGGGCTTCATGGAAACTTCTTCCAAAGAGTAGAATATTAGAGGATTGCTCACCTTTGCTTCCACTGTGGCTTTGTTGGGAAAAAAATAAGTTATTGTCCCAATGTTCCTCAAGTGCCCAAGCAACCTTCACAAAAATCTCAAAGAAGATCTATTGAATTACATAAAAATCCATCTATTTTGCACATGGACAGCAGCACCCCCCTCTTATAGTGACCCTATTATCATTAATAGCTACCCTCCTATGGTGAATTATGACAAAAATTCATCTTCCATGATCTATGTAGCCTTCCATCTGCCTCATATGGAATGTGAGCACTCTCTTTCTTAAATCATGTAATGTGCAAAAGAAGGGAAAAATATTGAAAGCTATGGGCCATAGAGTCTAGTTACTTCTATAAAATCTAAGTGGCAAAAGAAGAAGAATCCCAATGTTGATATTGGAGGACAGAAGGCTACTCCCCCTGTCATAAGTGGGGAAGTTAGTAAACCGGTCAAGCAAGTTGCTTCATCTAGGGATGATTATATCTCCAACATTCCATTCAAGTTCTCCACTGAGACTTTCCTCTTGCATCTAAGGTTTTCTAGCCCATAGAAAGATAGAGTCTCTATGACTTGATTTTCTAGGGAACTTCAACGTTTGGGGCCAATTACTAATTAATTAAGGAAGCGAAAGGAGGGTGGTAGAGATGACTCTCGTTAAGGTGCTAATTACAAGTATGGGAAGTTTTATCTAGGTCTATCCTTCTCTCTTCTTTGTTTTATTTTGTTGAGGAAGGCTTCTTTTGATGCCTCATCCTAATTGGTACTCTTTGTATACTTTTTGAATGCATTTTATTAAAAAAGAAAATGATATTTAATAAATCCTCCATCATTATTTTCTTCATAGAGATCCTTCGTTCGGAGTTGAGGAGCAAAATAAGAATAAATTCAAGCCTTGAGACCCTGCATAAATTGAGCAGATGATGAGTGTGGATACTCCGATAATTTCCAAGGACTTTCTTCAGAATTCATCATCCAATCATCAAATATGCTTATTATGGTGAGGAGGAGAGGCCACTGGTCTTCTCCCCACTCTGGTGGGTGTAGTGATGGTAGGAAGGCTTCAAAGCATGTCAACAATTGGAAGGTGTTTGAAGGCATGGAAATGAAAGCTTTTTTGATCAGGTTTTGCTGGATGTTCATGCAGTTGGATTAGCTAATATTCTAGCTGGTGATGCTTCCTCTGAGGAACATTAGCAGCCGGTTATTTCTTTGGATGATGACCACCTCCTTAGCTCTTTCTTGGGCTTTGTTCGTTCTATTATGGGTATCAAACAAGTGATGTACGGATGTGGATACTATGATCATTTCCCAAGACTTTCGTCTAGATTCATTGTCTGATCGTCAAATCTGTTAACACATCTCCGATTGCAACCGGAAAGTGCAGGTTTGCAATCTCGAATCAAACATATTATGTGTGGATGCCATACATTATAGTCTATTATCTGAAGGTTAGGCTTTGAATGCAATTTCTGGTTTGGATTGTGTGCATGGTTTGGGTGGCAGCTTGGTTGGATTGTCTTGGTGCAAGTGTGACAATGTTTCAACTTAAGAGCCTAACGTTACAGGGCAATGCGCATCAGCTATTTGTGTTAATGCTCTAAAGTATTTTTCATTCAATTTGGGGGATATTGATGTTGAATTTTAACCTCATTCTAGCAAATAGAATTCCCTAAGGTAGCCTAGAGTGTTTGGCAATCAAATTCCAGGTCTTTTTTCTTGGAGAAAACCCTCCTATACCCCTTTTGAAAAGTTTGTCAAACATGAGATTCTTGATAAGGATGGTATTTTCTTGACACATAATATTGATAAAGTTCAAGAAAATATTTTTAAATTGGAATGTGCTTTAGTTGGGAAACTTCTAGGCAAGTTAATATCCTTTGCTTGGCTTCATGTTGAACTATCGAGGTGATGGTCATATGCTGGGGAGTTTTAATTGATCATATAATTTTGAGGGGTGGTCCTTTGATTGTTGCTGGTAGCATTATTGAACTAGACTAGTTGTCTCGTATCTTCTCTCTCGAGGATATGTACAAGTTTTTCCCCGCTAATTTGGGTATGTTATCCATGGCTTCCTTTGATGTATTGGGATCCTTCCAATATTTCTCGTTTGGATGCTATGATTGGTGAACCTCCTTGGATGAATGATCCTTCATCCTCTTGGGGTTAGAGTTCTTATATTAGAGTCTGTGTCGACATTGATTTGGCATAGAAGCTTCTCTCAAAATTTTGGATCAAGGGCCTAATTGGCAGATTTTTTTCAAATAGTTGAGTATGAGGACAGCTCTCATTTATATTTCCATTATGGAATTATTGGCCTTAAAGTGGACTCTTCTCCTTTCAAGCCTTAGTTGCAGCCTGATATCCATGTTGATAGCATTCCATAATCTTCAATTTTCGAGTAGCAGAATCAAGATGTTCTTATGGATACTCATCAGATCGATCCTCGATCTCCTCAACCTTCATCCTCTTCCTATGATGTGGATAAATTGGGGACTTGGAACATCATCACTAGAAAGTTAAAGCCTAAGAAGAAAACTAATCTCCCCACCACCTCTACTTGAGGACATGAAATGAGGTGCCCCACTCCAAAACTAACTATATCTATCTCTAAGCCTATTATCTTCATTGCCCATAAATCTCAACACAAATCTCAACACAGGAATTTCTCCAAAAATTGTCGAAATCTCTCCAAGCAAAAGACTTAGCATGTCTTATCACCATTTAAGGAAAAAATTGCAGCATCTTGGGCTTGTCACCACTGGCCCAAGGAACTCGAAAAAAGCATATAATGATATCTTAAGCAAGGGTTTAGTCCCCGTAAATCACCAATATTGAGTTCCTCTTTTGTGTATTATACTGTTGTCGCAATCAAATGAGATCACTACAAGCCTCTTTCTAGCGTGATCTTTTATTTGCTTTGTTGGTGCCATCTACAATACCATGAGGTACCTCACATTATCAGATGAGGGGCTTTTCATCCTTTCTTTTCTATGTTTTTTTTTTTTTTTCATTTTGGCAGTTCCTTCATTTAGTTTTATTTGACAGCATGCTCTCCCACCTTATATTGGGGAGGCATAGTTGATTTTGTTTTTCCAGTTTGTATTCTCTGTACCATTTTTTTCTATGAAAATAAAAAAAATTTGCTAAAAAATGATTTTTAATAAATCATAATAGATTTAAAATAAATAAAAAATACAAAGTATAGCTCATTCAATTATAAATTCAACATACTTACAATAAACAATAAAAGCTCCATCATAAGGTTTGAAAATAAAAATAATTAAATTTTTTTATAAATAAATAAAAAAAATAAAAATAGAAATATTCACATATAATTCTAAAAGCTTTCAATAATCTTTAGAGATCATTCATGACCTATGATCATGATTTAAGTTGTTGGAATTCATATGGTTCAAAAATTAAAACTAGACTAATTACCTGAATTATTAATTCAATTAATTTGGTTCATTTTGTCAAATTTATAAAGTAATAAAAAAAAATTAAATACAAACTAAATTGCCCTGTTGGGTTGACTACCTCCTCTGACTAAGTAGACCAGGGACCATGATGGCCCGGGATGACGGAACCATGGGATCTTGATCGGGTCCATCATCCATTCCCCCACCATCCGCTTTAAGTGCTAGATGGTGAAATTTCTACTTTAAATATCAAACTCTCCAAATTCCCAAATCCAAATCCAATTCTCAAGTACCCAAATCAAAACCCAATTTCCAAATCCAATTTCTATCAGTATCCAATCTATTGCTGCTACTATATGCCAGATAACACGTATTCCATACGTATCTGATTGATGACTAGCCTTAATTGAAAGTTCTCTCTTGTTATCGGGAGGGGTAATTAACTATAGGGGCTTGCGCCTATAGGAAACCAGAACTCAGATCATAAAGTCCTCATAAAGTGAGGGCGAAATCTCTGGGTAGTGTCTTATCTACAAACCCATCTGCCTTCCAAAATTTACCCCGGAACTTAGTTCGTTAAAACTCCCTCGCCGAATAAGAAGAGCGAGTGGAGGCCGGGGCCGAATTTTCGGAGCCCACTGCATTCATATTTATTATGTTACTTTTTGTGCTCTGGATGTCCTATTTATTATTCCAATTGAGGCACCTTAGGCTCTCTAGGTTGAATTAGGCATCTAAACCATATTATACTCTATACACCTGCATTACACTTTTGCATTCTTTATATATATTACTCTTTTATTTTTCTGTAGAAAGTAGAATGTACCTAAATGTAAATTTATAAATGTATAGTTGTAGACTTTTTGTATATATAGATTGAGTTGTAAATTATAAGGAGTAAAGGGTTGTAAAAAAGATTTTAAAATGATTTCTTATATCAATTTAAAAGTTCGAAAATTAAATGAAACTTCTTCCTTTGAAGGTCATTATCTTTTGGAATCTTATATAAGATCTAGGAGACGGAAGGTTTAAAGACTAAAGTAACCAGCCATATTTAAATCTATATTATATAGAAATAGAAATCTAAGCTTGTTGCAGATGAGCCAGTCCACCTTTACTTTACATCATATACTGGATTGTATTTGACTAAAGTTATAAAGAAATAGAGTTTTATTTACACATTACTTTTATATATAATTACATTTTGTTATTTAGATGCATTTGCATTAGAGAGTCCTGATTAAAATGTTTGAACTAATTTTTCTTTATTCTGAGGGTATATAACCATCTTCTCTTTCATTCAAAATGCGTTGGTTTGTGCTTCTGATTTTAGCTGGCAATTCACTCTAGGTAGATGTAAGTCTAGGATTTATACTCCTTAGTTTCTTTTATCCTTGACTGTTTTATCTAATCATCTAAAATCTAAAGTAAAAAATAAATCTCTAAATAAAAGTCTAGATCTTTTCTCTGGCACTTTTAAATCTAAAGTTTTCCTTAAATCTTTATAAACATAAAATATATAGTCTTCGCTTTAATAAAGAGTTATCTTAAGACTTGCTTGAGATGTAATTGACTATAGGGCCTTGCCCTTATAGGGAGTCTAGAACCCAATAAAAATACAAACCCAATCTTAATTCTCTATGATATAAAAGAATCTTACGAACATAGACTTCACTTTATTCCTTAGTAGTTTCATATTCAAAATGATAGATGAATATTTATTTCATCTTTTGAGATGAATTTAGCAATCATAATGTTGTATTCGAATTGGAAAATAAACTAGTTTCTATTTTAGAATTGACAGTCGAGCATCCGTTTATCTTTCGATGCAATAGATATTATGCTATGCAAATTTAAATATAGAAATATTAAAACCAAAATTCATGTGGTCCCATAAAATTTGTCTACATAATTTTTCTAGTGTTTCCACTAGGTATAAACATTTCTTCATCTTTAGCAAAGAATAAAATTTCAAAATATATAAATATTCAATCAAAAGTTTGAGCACTAGATATTTCATTTATATATGCTCCAACAATAACTATAGATTTACATTGTGTGTATTTCATCCTTGGTCAGGTAGGAAACCTTAGCCCGTTCTTGTTTAAATCTACATAAAAAGTCTGCCTAAAAAATTAAATTCACCCCAGTCTAAGTCTTCGAATCGAGTCTTGTTCTAAATCTAAGTTTAAATCCTATAAAAAATTATAATCTTTATGGTTTGATGCCAAGACTAGCTGGTGCGGGCTAATTTAGAATATCACTTTAGATATTGACCTTCATATTAGATAAATTACTATAATTGTGGTGAAAGGTTAGCTTGGGAAGTGAACTTGTGATCTAGAGTTAATGAAAGAGTTTGGTGGAGTTTAAGAGGGTGTTGAAGTGTAGGTAATAAAACTAGGACAAAGTGTTTCTTATTTAGGTTGCTGACTATATGAAAGTGATTAGAAGGGTTTTATGAATTAAATTATTGGTTTATTTGTCTTAGAGGATGCTTATAAAGTGAAAGAAGAGATTTGAATAGTTTAGATCTGCATGTGTTTTAGAGAATTTATAAGTAAAATAAAATAAATAAAGATAACTTACTATTCTTATTAATGAAAGTCACAAAATTTGAAGCCATTGAACTTCAAGCAAATGAAAAGAATTTCTCTATAAAATTATTTGATTCCAACATTGAGAATTATAATGCATATTCGCTCATATTTATAGGCATTACAAAACTTACTTTGGGAAAAAAATAAAGAAAAGAATTTGCTTCCCTACTATTAGTACACAAGAAAGCTCCCCGAGTAGATTATTGTTTTAAATTTATACATGATACTCCATAAGAGAAATTCCACAATGAATACCTAGGCGGTAGCTCGCAAAGGGTTGAGCTTGCCCTTAAGAAGAATTAATTTTTATAGAAATGCAAAATAGTCAGATTTTGTTTCCTACAGATCTTGAATACATCAACAAGACGTTATCAAACAAAATCGGAGAAGAAATACAGGCTAATTAGGAAATGAGAAGAAGGTAATGCCGTGAGGAATGGTACCATGTTAACAAACAAAATTGTTATAAGAGAGTAAAATGGAGAAGGAGATAGCAACATTATCATTCCTTTCACAACAAAACAAAAATATATATAATACAATCACAGAGACAGATGAGATTCTTTATTAGGTGACAAAAAACGAGAAGAACTGAAATAAGTTGAAGTACGAAACCACATTTGAAGAAGTCAAAAGCAAAAGTTATCTGCTTGAAGTGTAACCTTGAATGAAAACAAAATATGGTAGATATAAATGTAGTAACTGGAACCCAAAACCTCCAAGTCATCTAAACCCAAGCAGAAATGTGAAAATAATGAGGATAACAACTGAAGAAACAGTGCAAATTTCAAAGCCCGTGAGGAAAGAAAAGCACGAAACAAAAATAAGGCCAACAAAAATGCAAGAAATTTTTCATATACAAACAGAACTCGAAATCAGAAAGCTGCATAAAATATAACCAGAACCACTAATTATAAGAATCTGGATTAGGGAATATCACGGTTGTCAAAAATAATAATTGCATTAGTCATTTCCAAGCTGAGATAGAGGACGTTGTTCCTATTGAGGTTTCTTAGCCGTGCATGCTTGATATTATAAAAGTAGAATGAATGCTTTAAACTTCAGATTTATTTTCGTTCGATTAAGTATCAAAAACAGTAGCCAAGTTTGTTAACCAATTATTAACTCTCCTACTTTCCCTGAACTTGTGAGCGTATATGAAATCAAGAGATGATAACAGCATTCTCCGCCACAGAAAAAATCTAAAACTGTAGGGTATGCTGGAGAACAATTCGTAGAAAGGATAATGTTTTTTATCACATCCTTCAAAATTACTCTCACTTGTTGGCTGATTTCAACAAATTTGCTCCATAACTTGGAACCACCTTTTCTATTGAGTGAGATCTGTTACTATTTCTAATATGCTTAGAAAACAAATCAGCAGCAAGATCAACCATTTCCTTTATGCTTGTGACATCAACATCAAGCTCCAAATCATTTTCTTTTGCTCTATTGCCACCCCTAAGGATAAGGGGGCCTTGGTTTGCCCTCCATTGATATACTTTACAAACTTTCTAAAGCCAAAATCAGCTGAAAACTCTACAATATTCACTTCCTCACTTTCAGACTAGTGATATTAAAGTCTATGGATCAATTAGGGCCTTGCCCACTTGTTGCAATTCATTATGCATTCAAACTGAGAAATATGATGGAGTTTAGGGTTGCTTTTAAAATGCAGCCTCCCTACTTTGGGATCTTTGAATGAATGATATCTCTTCTGAAAAAGTTTGGTCAGAATGTTCTAAATCGTTTATCTTTGATTTCTAAATTCATAGTTGGTGGCCAATGGACTCTTTCTTACTGCACAAATAATCATATTACTAATATGATTGAATACATCAATATTCAAACTGCAATATGACTAGTTTTTGGATATTTTTTTTATCTGTCATAAACTGGTTTATTCTAAGATTTATCAATGTCTCCCCAAGGTTGTTTGATAGTAATATATGAGATTCTGA